CCCCCCCCCAGCTAGCAATCCAAAAGAGTCCAGTGGAGCCTGAGTTGTGGGTGTTGCCTTCTGACACACTTCCGGTGATGTCAGGGGGTATGGCATATGCAAATAAGTCATGCTAATGAGCTCCTGCACCTCTTTTTCTACGAAATGACCCCTGGACAGAACTATGGCTTGCCCGAGGTCATCCAGCCAGGTGCAAGTGGAGGAGTGGGGAATCAAACCCAGTTCTCCCAGATTATGGTCCATGCACTTAACCACGACACCAAATGGGGGTGGCAGGCCACACAGCTCCGGGGGGCACTTCTCTCCAACTCAAAACCGTCTGGAAGGAGGCATACCTCCCAGGGCCAAGGAGAAAGGAATCTCTTGCCGAAAGAGAAAGAGTGGTGACGTCACAGGCCTTCTGGCAGCTGTTGGTGACCGGTGGTCTGTGCCTGACCCTGCTCCACCCTGCTTGGAATTTGTGCTCTGGTCACAGAACCGCCATCCCCGCTGACACGCTCCTTTATCTCCGGCACAGACCGCAGCCTGAGTCAGGCTGGGGCGCTGGACTCTCGTCCGCCTGCGCTTACCAGATGCCTCTAGCGTCGGGCCAGTCCCGGGCCATGCCGGAGGCGAGCAGGAGAGGGGAGACGGGCTTGTCAAACAGGAAGTGGTCATCGATCAGCTGCTGCTGCTCGGCGTCGGTCATGTCCTTCAAGGGGTAGTACTTGCCCTTGAACTCCCCTGTCAGGCTGTTCAAGGCTGGGGAGAGAGAGAAGACACACAAAACACACACACCCGTGGCGTGAACAGGCCTGGCTTGTGGGCAGTCAAGTGTGGGGCTTCACCAAGCAAGGGGGGCACATGCTATTGGATGAGTTACAGATCGGTACGGGAATCCGGTTCCGTTCAATGGCTCGGCAAGCCAGCAGCCGGGGGGGCATCGCGGGGGGGGGGGGGGAGAACCATTGGGAGACCTCGTCCTACCCCTCCACATCTCCCCCTGCACGTTGATTTAAGTTCTTGGGGCCTTCGCCAAGCTCACCCGTCCGCCCCACCCCATTTTCCCTTTTAACTGACTGCCGATCATTCCTGCCCCTTGGAGCACGGGGAATCTTTAAAGGTAAAGGTAAAGGTTCCCTTGCTCGAAAGCCAGTCGAATCCGACTCTAGGGTCGCGGTGCTCATCTCCGTTTCAAAGCCGAAGAGCCAGCGCTGTCCGAAGATGTTTCCGTGGTCATGTGGCCGGCATGACTAAACACCAAGGCGCCCGGAACGCTGTTCCCTTCCCACCGAAGTGGTACCTATTTATCTACTTGCAATTTCTTGCTTTCGAACTGCTAGGTTGGCAGGAGCTGGAACTAGAGACAGGAGCTCACACCGTCATGCGGCACACTCGGGTCTCGAACTGCTGAACTACTGACCTTCCACAGCCTGCAGTTCAGCGTCTTAACCACTTGAGCCACCGCAGCTCCTTAGGGGGAATCTTTACAGGACTGGGCGGTTTTTTTCACCCTCCTTCCGGGACTACCTAGGCCCCTTGGCGCCTGCTCTGTTGCTTCTGTGGTCGTTAGGATTGGTGCACCCCAAGGGCTGATATGACATGTCTTTGCTGACTTGTCCCCCACCCTAGAACTTGAGACAGCTCGTAGGGACTCCAAGGAAGTCTCCTGTTCAGGCAGGGGCCAAACCCAGGCCTGTTGGGTCCCAAAAAGGTTGTGGTAGTGAGTGTCCTCCGGCCATTAACCCCCAGGGCTATTCAGGAAGCTATAATTTCCGGGTTCCTTGGAAAGGGTGAGACAGTGGACATGTCGTCATCCCATCCCTACCCCCGAAACAAAAATGGGGGGGGTTAGGAGCGACTACAAGGTCAAAGATTACAAGGTCAAAGAAGAAGAAGAACAGAAGAAATCAACCCTGACTGTTCCCTGGAAGGCCAGGTACCGAAGCTGAAGCTCAGATACTTTGGCCACCGAATGAGAAGAAAGCCCTCGCTGGAGAAGACCCTGATGCTGGGAAAAACTGAAGGTCAAAGAAGACGGGGACGGCAAAGGATGAGATGGTCGGACAGTGTCATCAATGCAACAAACATGAAATTACGCAAACTCCGGAGCACGACGGAAGACAGGCGGGCCTGGCGAGATGTGGTACATGAGTTCGCAAAGCGTCGGACGACAACAACAACAAGTTGACAAATTGCTCTTGCCCCCTTACCGGTGATGGAGAGGTTCTCCACAGCACGGCGCTCCCCACGGCTGCAGTGGGGTGGCAGGGAGTATCCCTTGATGCTGCGGCCCGTCCGTACACGGCTGCTGAACACATAGTTGGGGTCCAGATCATCTCCACCCTACAGGGACGGTTGAGAAGGGAGGGGGGACGAAGACATTAGGTAGGTCACTGAACGCCTGACCGTATGTCTAGCTACCGTGACTCCCCCCACCCACCCCGTCACCACCACGCGCACCCTGAGTGAGCGCTCACCTTCAGGTTCTCGTGGTTCAGATCGGTCTTGTGCTTGTCGGTGGGTTTGTAGCCGCCGTGACGGTCGGAAATGATGGGGTCGAAGAGGTCCTTGAAGACGTCGTAGGTCTCCTCGTCCCCAGCCACGCAGCCGACAGTCATGATGAAAGGGTGGCCTGTCCGTGGATGGAGAAAGGCATCGGTGAAGGGCGGTGGGGGGGGACATTTTTCAGGCATGACGGCAACATCACCCAGTAGGCATGTGGTGGAGGTATCTAACTTCCAGAGGCCGGGGTCTGTACGGGGGAGGGCTTTGCCCGAGGGACAGGTTTTGGCAAGCGGTGCACGAGAAGGGCCCAGTCTTTCCCACAGGGGATAAGCCGGCAGGCCTCTCTCGTGTTCGTTTCCAGAGGGTTTGTGTCCTACTAGATGGCATTCTGCGTTAATTGGGATATGCACCTTCCATTCAGATGTTCCCCCCCCCCCCATTCAGGCACCAAAATGTCTCAGCCTTACAAATGGTGTCCATTTTTGCAGAGGTCTGTCTGCTGGATGGGTCGGGACCAGTGTTCCCTCTAAGCTGAGTTAGTGTGAGCTAGTTCCCATTTTTTTTAGCCTTCGGCTCACACGTTTTCCCCTTAGGAAGGACGGCTCCAGAGAAAACCAATTTCTGCAGCGGCCAAATCGCTCGCTCACAGCTTTAATGCCAGCGGCTCACAAAGTAGAATTTTTGCTCACAGGACTCCACAGCTTAGAGGGATGGTTGTTCGGGAGAGCAGAGAGGCCTTGCCCCTTCTGATCTAATTTAGTGCGCTAATAATAATCAAAGGCTCTGTCCCTGAATAATAGCAGCCATACATCGCCGTTTGGCCCAGCAATGCAACAACTGATTCGTCATACGGACACCCCTTTGAGCCCTGATCTCTGTGCAGGGTTCCGGGTAACCTCGAGCCTTGCCTCTGGCGTGTCAGTCATTTTCTTGGGGTTGTGTGGAACCAGTGCCCTCTATTTTATTTTATATTTATTTATTTATTTGATTTATTCAATTTTTATCCCGCCCTCCTTGCATAGCAGGCTCAGGGCGGCTTATGGTAGGTTAAAATACGTTAAAACACAGATGTATGGAGACGACGCAATAACACAGTATACAAAAATTGGCAATCATGAGTACATATAAATACATATGAAAAGCAGATAGAATTCTGATGGCGGTTGCATCCCATAGGGTCAGAATACACTGGCTGTTATTGTCCGAGTTAACAAAGAGGGCCTTGACAGTTCAGATGTTAGCTGATCAGATGTGATCAGTATATGGGCAGTGGCAGCTCCCAATGGAAGGACTGGTGGAAGAGCTCTGTTTTACAGGCCCCTGCGGAAGTTTAGGAGGTCCCGCAGGGCCCTGATGTCTTCCGGGAGCTCATTCCACCAGGGTGGAGCCGCCACTGAGAAGGCCCTGGTTCTAGTAACGGCCAGCCTGGCGTCTTTCGGGCCAGGGAGAGTCAGGCGGTTTTGCGACCCTGACCTCAGTGCTCTCTGGGGAACATGTGCGGAAAGGCAGTCCCTCAGGTCGGCAGGCCCCTTTGGACTTTTCCTACGTGTTTCCCCCCAGCTCCTGTGGAAGACTCCTTATGAACTTCGTTTCAGAGGGTCACCATGTCAGTCTGCAGTATAGAACAAATAAACCCGAGTTTGGTAGCACCGTAGAGGTCAAGATGTTGAGGGGGGGGTTGCCTTCGAGGGTCAAAGAGCTCTGATCCTTATAAGCAGGGGTCGTTTCGTAGAAAAAGAGCTAGGGGGACTCATTAGCATAACTCATTAGCATATGCCACACCCCCTGACATCAGGGGCTCGGCGGTGGACCTGCAAGGCCGGCGGGAGTGCGAGGAAGCCCCGCCAAGGCCCTCCCTGGCCCCAGGCAGGCAGGGGTGGGGAGAGGTAGGGAGGAAGCAACTTACCCTCCCTCTTCTCCTGCCTCCTCCTGGCTGAATGAGGGCCGGAAGCGGGGCGGCCGGAAGCAGGGGGTGGGGCTTCGTCGTGTGCCCCGCCCCCTCACCTCACCCGGGGGAACTGCGATCCCCCACTATCCCCCCTGAATTGACCTCTGCTTATAAGCTTCTCCCCACTTGTGGGTCTCTGAGGTCCAGCCTAGCTGTTCCTTATGAAGTATTACGCCAGCCAGCCAGCAGAGGGAGCAAACGAGCCAGGCTGTGGGGCCATCACTGAGGCGCAATGGCAGGCAAGAGAATCCGAATATTCGGCTGGGAATTCGGGTAGAGGGAGAAAGCAAGAAAGGTGTGACTGGGTGTTCCTTCGTCGCGATTTCATAGGCTCTGTGGGCACGGCAGGGAAGGACTCACCTGGGTTGTCTATGCCGGTCTGGATGCAGTCGTCCAGAGTGAAGCCGCTGGGGGTCTCTTTGTCACGCAGCTTCTTGTAGATGTCCAGGGTGAGAACCTTGGCCATGTGGTTGTTGTGCTTGGTGAGGTCGGGGAACTCCTCCTCCGGCTTGTAGTTCAGCTTGAACTTGTTGTGGGTGTTTCCGAAAGGCATGGTGGCGCTCGACGGGATGAGTCCTGCGCAGCGGAGCCAGAGGAGAAAGCGTTGGCCGTGGGGTGGGAGAGGGGCCCAGCCAGTGATCCTCTGCCCTCCCTGGCAAAGCCAAAACTGGGGAGGGGGGGTCGACTCATGGGGTCAACACCCCACACCAAAAAACAGGCTGCAGCTTCACATTTGCCGTCTACAAGAGGGTATAAGACCATCGCATCTGATTGCACCACTGGTCAAAATGCACTTTGGAGGGGGGAGAGAAACTCCTCCATAGTGCCTGTGGGGATTTACCAAAGAACAAGAAGAGATTGGATTTGTACCCCGCCCTTCACTCAGAATCTCAGAGCGGCTTACAATCCTTCCCTTCCTCTCCCTTCAACATACATCCTGTGAGGTAGGTGGGGCTGAGAGAGAGAACTTGTGACTGACCCAAGGTCACCCAGCTGGCTGCGTGTGGAGGAGTGGGGAATGAAACCCGGTTCTCCCAGATTAGAGTCTGTGCTCCTAACCACTACACCAAACGGGCTCTCGTTGGATTGGTGACGATTCTCTGTCCCAGTATTTTATTTTTCTGCAGATGTTCTAATACGATGGGTTTACAGGAAGAAGTGACACAACTCGTTTCTGACCAATGCCCCCTCTAAGTTGTGGAGTCCTGTGAGCAACAATTCTACTTTGTGAGCTCCTGGCATTAATGCTGTGAGTGAACAATTTGGCTACTGCATGGATCAGTTTGCTCTGGAGCCATCCCTTCCTGAGCTAAGGCAAAAATGTGTGAGGTAGAGACTAAAAAACTGTGAGCTAGCTCACACTAACTCAGCTGAGAGGGAACCCTGTTTCTGACAATCTCATTCTGAAGAAGAACGCGTTCAGGAGCTCCTTAAAGACTAACCAAATTTGTGGCAGGGGAGGAGCTTTTGAGAGCCGGTGCTCACTTCTTCAGATAGCTACCAGACGGGGCCCTTGCTCTTTCCTACGGCTCCAGACGGACTAACACGGGTACTCATCTTGTTCTGAAAACCATCCTTCTAAAAGGCGGGTTGATGAGATAATATTTTTTTTAAAAAAGCAGGAAATGAGAATGTAGATATGCTTCCCACTTGGTAAGCGGCACCTTAACCTGACACGAAACTTGAAAGTTCAGTTTTAAAACTGAAATTTCAAAGATAGATAGAGAGATAGGTAGGTAGGTAGGTAGGTAGGTAGGTAGGTAGGTAGATGGATAGATAGATAGATAGATAGATAGATAGATAGATAGATAGATAGATAGATAGATAGATAGATAGATAGATAGATAGATAGATAGATAGATAGATATGCTGGCCTGGGAACCTTAGAGCGATGTCCCATGGTTTCAGACTGAAGTCAGGAAAACACCTCTCTGTGGCTCCAATACGATTCTCTGCCTGCTTCTGCCTCTGCTCTGACCTCATCGCTTCCCGTGAGTTTCGACTGTCGGCAGTGTTTCCTCTAAGCTGAGTTAGTGTGAGCCAGCTCACAGTTCCTCAGCCTCCGGCTCAGACATTTTTGTCTCCACTCAGGAAGGGGGGCTCCAGAGCAAACGGATTTATGCGGTATAGCCAAATGGCTCACTCACAACTTTTAATGCCGGTAGATCACAAAGTAGAATTTCTGCTCACCAAGACCCCGCAGCTTAGAGGCAGCACTGGCTGCAGGAACTGCTTCGGGTTGTCCTGTGAGAAGGGCCGGCCTGCTGGACCGGAGAGCCATTCCGCCAGCGGCAGGCGGCAGGGTCACACCCAGAACCTGATCCGTTCCCAGCATGGACGCAGGCAGGATTTATTAGACACGAGGCCACTTCTCTCGCACCACGTCAAGGGCCCTCCTGCCTGAGCTTCAGGAGGAGAGCCCACGGGCTGGAAAGCGGGCCGTGTTGGCGTGCCTGGGCCCCAGCGCCTCTTCAGACAACCATCGTGGGCCAGCCTCTCTCCCCACTCCCTGGCATCGGAGCCGGTGGCGAACCTGCTGACATGTTATCAGCAGTGAAGTCAGCAATTGTGCAGGGGGCGGGAGGGGGGGAGAGAGAGAAGATTCCACTGCCCGTATCCAGTTGCCGCTGCTGGAAAATCGGGCGTCGCCTTAGCTGTCAGCCCCTCCGAAGCAAGTTTATTTATAGCCACTGGTCTTGTCCACAAAAGGACCCAGCAGCTGCTGGCAGAAACCCAGGCCGCCTTCCAGGGGCTGCGTTTGCAAGGGGTCAGCTGGCCCAAGAAACCCAATACCAAGGTGCAGGGCGGGAGAGGGCCCTGCAGGGGCGAAGGAAACGGCCAGGCGTCTGCAGAAGAGAAAGCCAAGGGAGGTCTGCCAGTAACTGCCCAGTTAATCTCCTCCCCACACCCTTTCAACATAATAGCCGCAAGGGAACAGCGGGCACCTTGACCAAGGGCATGGAGGACTTTTAAGGTCATCTTGAAGGCCGTTCCAAAGCGGACACCCCTGAGGCACCGTGCCTCTTCCCCTGGGCCCTTCCAGAGGGCAACGCCAAAAAATGGCATCTCTTCTGGCATGAGAGAGGGCGTGGAACAAATCCCCATTAACACCCCATGCTCCGGGACCCCACTTTTATGCACCAAAACTCGGCTGTTCTCGTCACGAAAATCCGGCATTGGCGAAGGGTTCTTTTAAACGAAACCTCGTGCATTTTGTTACAAAATCAAAATTGCTGGCCTCCTAGTCCAGCAGAGGCACCTGCTCCTGTCCATTCCTCCTCCGGCAACTCTGGAACTTGAGAAGGGTGTTTGTTACCTGTCAGGGAGAATCAAAGCCTGCAACTTCCCCAGGGGCTTCGCGCTGCCTCTTCTACTCCAGCACAATGGGTGACCCAAGAGTTCGGGTGCTGGGAGCCCAGAATATATACCTTGTGCTTTGCTCCGATTGGCCCGCAGCTGGTGAGCAGCTGGCCGGTGATTGGATGCCGCTGCCCCCCAGCTCAGCTTGGAATTTGGGCAGGAGGCTCCCGATTGGAGCCGGCTTCGAGGAGGGTCGCCTTCCTCCCCCCCACCCCCACCCCATGGCTCTTGCAGGGCTCTTCTCGCTTCCGATGCGAAGGCAAAGCATTTCAGTCTTCAACGAAGCCTCGGAGCATGCGCAGAGTGCTCCTGCAGAGCTGACCTAGGCAAGGCGTGGTTCTGATCTCCAGGCACCCTTGCAACTTGCTTGTCTCCTCCTTTGGAAACGATGTCGGCTGCAGGTGAAACCACGACACATCTCCCAAAGAGCTGCAAGCAACAGCCCAGGGGGGTTGCATTTCATCTTCACGTCAACCCTGCACGGTAGACTTTTTGTGGGAGGATGACTCTCCCCTTGAAGACAAAGGGGGGCACACTGGGGCTGCATGCAGAGGGCACTGAGATGCCAGAGCCCAGCTCTCAGGGACCAGCCGAGCCACACCAGAGGAGCGTTCTAAAAATAAGGAGGCACTGATAAAGAGAGTCCCCCTTGGAGCAAGAGGAAATGGCTTTCCAGGATCGGCTGCAGCGTGAGGGAGGGGGCGCTGGCTCCTCTCTCCTCCATAGCTTGGGGGCAGGAGGTGCTAAGCTGTTTGAGGGGCATTTTTTGCCTGAAGACAGAGGCAGGGATGCCAGCAGCACCGGGTGTGGAGAGAAGACTTACGTTACCGTCTTTACTCGAAAGAAAGACGACCCTCGATGTAAGACAATCTTCTCCCCTGAAAAAAAATACACACAAGACTTTGATTACTGTACATTAGTGTAACTTGTCTGAGAATTTAAGACACACTTGCCCCCCCCCCTTTCTTGATGATGCACGTGGAAAAAATGACAGACCTTCCCAGCGTTGCTCCAGTGGGCAATGAGGTCCAGAAACGTGCGTTTAAAACACAAAGCAAAAGTTGAAGTCCCTCAGAATCCATCACGGCTGGGTTTGTTTGTTTTTGCAAGCACCAAGGAGGAAGAGAGTGTTGAAGAGACGGGCCTGGCTGGTTTACGCCGCTCCTGCCAGGTCTTCCTTCCTCAGAGAACACTGGGCACGGGGGGCTTCTAATGAAAGCGTCAGTGCCTCGAAGGGTTGTCAGAAGACAATCCTACGGAGCGACAGAGCTGACTTCTCCCTAATGTGGCCTAATCCAGCAACGGTAGCTTAATAACACATCTATGCTATGCATCTGAGACAAGTTTGCAATCAGAGTAATGCCATTGCTTGCCCAAAAACCATTGGTGTGCAGTGCCGTGTTGCAAGAGTGGTATGCTAGATATTTCCAGTTGCTTAGGAGGAACAAGCTGACTTGAAGCTGGTTTAAAAGTGGGGAGGGGCTGTGGCTCAGTGGGAGAGCATCTGCTTGGCATGCAGTTAAAAGGACCAGGCAGTGAGTGATGCCAAAGGCCTCCACCTGAGACCCCGGAGAGCTGCTGCCAGTCTGAGTAGACAAGACTGACCTTGATGGACCCAGGAGGTCTGATTCAGTATGAGACAGATTCATATGTTCATCTCCTGTTTGAGGAGGGGCCATGGCTCAGTGGCAGAGCCTCTACTCTGCATGCAGAAGGTCCTGGGTTAATCGCCAGCATCTCCAGTTAAATAGGACCAGGCAGTGGGTGATGGGAAAGACCTCTGCCTGAGACCCTGGAGAGCTGTAAAGAGGGGCCATGGCTCAGTGGAAGAGCCTCTGCTTGGCATGCAGAAGGTCCCAGGTTCAATCCCCAGCATCTCTGGTTTAAAAGGACCAGGCAGGAGGTGATGGGAAAGGCCTCCGCCTGAGACCCTGGAGAGCTGTAAAGAGGGGCCATGGCTCAGTGGAAGAGCCTCTGCTTGGCATGCAGAAGGTCCCAGGTTCAATCCCCAGCATCTCTGGTTTAAAAGGACCAGGCAGGAGGTGATGGGAAAGGCCTCCGCCTGAGACCCTGGAGAGCTGTAAAGAGGGGCCATGGCTCAGTGGAAGAGCCTCTGCTTGGCATGCAGAAGGTCCCAGGTTCAATCCCCAGCATCTCTGGTTTAAAAGGACCAGGCAGGAGGTGATGGGAAAGGCCTCCGCCTGAGACCCTGGAGAGCTGTAAAGAGGGGCCATGGCTCAGTGGAAGAGCCTCTGCTTGGCATGCAGAAGGTCCCAGGTTCAATCCCCAGCATCTCTGGTTTAAAAGGACCAGGCAGGAGGTGATGGGAAAGGCCTCCGCCTGAGACCCTGGAGAGCTGTAAAGAGGGGCCATGGCTCAGTGGAAGAGCCTCTGCTTGGCATGCAGAAGGTCCCAGGTTCAATCCCCAGCATCTCTGGTTTAAAAGGACCAGGCAGGAGGTGATGGGAAAGACCGCCGCCTGAGACCCTGGAGAGCTGCTGCCAGCCTGAGCAGACAATACTGACCTTGATGGACCAAGGGTCTGATGCAGGATAAGGCATGTTCTTGTGTGTTCTTTGGAGGGGCCGTGGCTCAGTGGCAGAGCATATGCTTGGCATGCAGAAGGTCCCGGGTTCAATCCCCGGCATCGCCAGTTAAAAGGGCCAGGCAGTCAGTGAAGGGAAAGACCTTCCTCTGCCTGAGACCCTGGAGAGCCGCTGCCGGTTTGCGTGGGAAATACTGACCTGGATGGCCCAGGGGCCCGATTCGTTACAAAGCACTTTCGTGTAAGTGGGGTGTGGCGGTAGCCAAAAGTGCAAGGGAAGGAAGGAGGGAACCCCTCGTCCCTGATCACCCCAGTTTGTGCTTTGCTTGGTGTGCAAGTACTGATGAGAAGTGGTGCCCGGCCTGGCTTGCCCCCGGACCGAGCTCTGGTTTGCCCTCTTGACTTTTGCTCTCTTTGCGGCAGAGCAAAAGAAAGGTCCTGGTGGGCCCCTCTAGAGCCACACCCCATTTCCCACAGTGGCCAACCAGATACCCCCAGGAGGCCCACAATCAATTAATTAATTACCCTATGGCATTATGTGTAGAATAGCCAGGGAAATCCTAAGATCGCCTGCCAACCAGAAGTTCTAGCTCTTTTCCAGCATTATGCACCACTAGGTGGCGAGCTAGACTTGTTTTTAAGGAGATATTCCCGAGATATTCCCGAGTTGGTTGGCCGTTGCCTTCCTCTGTGTCACGACCCTAGTATTCCTTGAAAGTTGCCCTTCCAAATACTAGCCTGCTTAGCTTCCGAAATCTGATGGGATCGGGCTGGCCTGGGATGGCCAGGTCAGGATAGGAGGCCCACAGAAAGCAGAGGACAGAGACAGCCCTTCCCTCCATACCTTCTCCTCCAGTAGTGGGTAGTCACAGATACACTGCCTCTGAACCTGGAGGCTCCATGGCCCCTCAAAGGCAAACGCTTTTGAGCATGTCGAATCTCCTTTTAGAGCCATCTGAGCTAGAAGCTGCCTCTGTTTCTTGGGGAAGGAAATGGAAATATCAATGTCAATGAAAGCTAAAATTATATTGTATTTGAATGCATTTGGTTTACATGTACTTTATGTTGTTTATAACTGTTCCTGGTCATAGGAAAGATGCTTGTAAGTGCGCACCATCGCCATGTGTGAGCGTGATTTCACTAGAAAGGTTGTGTGCATTTTTTTTTGCTGGGGAAGGTACCTATATGTGTCATCAAGATTGATCTTGATGCACAGTTACTAATATTTACAATTTGATTAAAGTTTTTGTAACCTAATATGATTTTAGCTTTTTTGGAATTAACATCTCTCCTTATATATAATTGAATAGTGGGTGCCAAAGTTCTAATTCTAAAATACACTCCCTTAGTGTATGGCTGATGGCACTGCTCCTCAGCATATATCGCCACCAATCAGAAGGCAAAGCCCGGGTCCCGCCCATACCACAACTGCTGCGACAACCTGGTCTTTTGCATATGGAAGCTGATTGGACTTCAGTCCATTCCACACCTCAAACTCCGCCCCCCCCCCCGCAAGGCAGTTGGAATTTTCAGTTGCATACCTCATAGGGGAGAGGAGAATGGGTAACAATGGTTACCACTCTCCAGGTGAGGGCTACAGATAACTCAAACATACAAATGCTCTTCAGGTAGCAGAGATCAGTCCCTCTGGAGAAAACAGTGGACTCTGTCATTAAACCCTGCTGAGGTCGCCACAGGAAACTGACACTGTTTGCCCAAAGCCAGAGCACTCTCCCAGAGCCTCTTTCTAGATCTCGTTGTATTTATTTCCGCAACGGGCATTATTTCTAGTAAGAACATAAGAGACGCCAATGTTGGATCAGGCCAAAGGCCCATCCAGTCCATCTGTGTCACACAGTGGCCAGAAATACCAGTGCCATCAGGAGGTCCAGCAATTGGCATTGATATTTCCACATGCAATGATTTTAGCTTTTTTTCCCTACCTTTTTTCTACCTTTTGGGTTACCTGCTTTGTTCTGAGTTTGACATTTTCTCTTCCCCTCCCCTTTTAAAATTTGCTTTCACTGCTTGGGATGGGAAACTACAGATGCTTAGAAGGCATATTGGGTAAAGGGGTTTCCCCCCCAGTATCCCTTCAGTTCGGGTTGCCAGCTCTTGATCAGGAAATACCTGGTGAATATCGGGGTGGACCCTGAGGAATTCTTCATGATAAAGGTCAGAGTCAACCACTAATGGATGTACAGCACATGCAAATACACCAACCACCCAAAAACACCATACAAATAAAGCATCAGACAAAAAAATTGTGGGGGTTTTTTGGTGGTTTGCATACCAATGCTGCGGTGGCTCAAGTGGTTAAGACGCTGAACTGCAGGCTGGGGAAGGTCAGTAGTTCAGCAGTTCGAGACCCGGGTGCCGCATGACGGAGTGAGCTCCCGTCTCTAGTTCCAGCTCCTGCCAACCGAGCAGTTCGAAAGCAAGAAATTGCAAGTAGAGAAATAGGTACCACTTCGGTGGGAAGGGAACAGCGTTCCGTGCGCCTTGGTG